ATAAATAAATAAATAAATAAAGGCATCCTGATGTTGTGGTACAGTTCATATTGGCTACACTCATACATAGAAAAAAGAATGAAAGGAAATTCACCACAACGGGAATGGAAGTTATATTTGGGTGTTGATATTCTCTCTCTCTCTCTCTCTCTCTCTCTCTCTATATATATATATATATATATATATATATATATATATATAATCTTTATTGATTTCAGAAAGGAAGGGAGAAGGAGAGCTACAAACATCAATGTTGAGAATTATTGGTTGGTTGCCTCCTGCACGCCCCCTACAGGGGATCAAGCCCACAACCCAGGCACGTGCCCTTGGTCGGAATCGAACCTGGGACCCTTCAGTCCGCAGGCCAACACTCCATCCACTAAGCCAAGCCAGCCATCCAGGGCTATACATAGATTTTTGTTATGTTTTTAAAGGTTTCTGCATTTTCCGTAAATTCGACAATAAGCATACATCATCACCTTGCCTTTTTTTCTTTGCTTGCTTTCTTCTTCTTCTTCTTCTTCTTCTTCTTCTTCTTCTTTTTTTGTTTTTTGTGTTTTTTTTTTTGTTTAGGTCTGATGGAATAATTGAATCAATACCTCCTACCCTGAAGACTAACCTTTAGACCACGTCACAACCGACATTCCCTTTTGCTTAGAACACATTCCACTTGCTAAGAACACATTCCACTTGCTAAGACCGTTATCTTACCCCTCAGGACCCGCCCAGCGAATTTTCCATCCAGAAAAGTCCTGCCTAGAGTCCTTTAAGATCACTGACTCCGCACCCCTGGGTGCTGGCACCATTTGTGAGGTCAATCCATTTAGTTTTCCAGATGACTTAATAAATGCATAATTCTTTGTTTAAATATATTTTTTATTGATTTTTTACAGAGAAGAAGGGAGTGGGATAGAGAGCTAGAAACATGGATGAGAGAGAAACATCGATCAGCTGCCTCCTGCACACCCCCCACTGGGGATGTGCCAGCAACCAAGGTACACGTTCTTGACCAGAATCAAACCGGGACCCTTCAGTCCGCAGACTGATGCTCTGTCCACTGAGCCAAACCGGTTTCGGCAATAAATGCATAATTCTTCATCCCTTTGGCCTCCTTTGTTCCTCCTTTGGCAACCCTAACAGTTTTGTGTGCACATTTGCAATATACATACATATATATTATATATATATATATATATTTTTTTTTTAAATTGATTTTAGAGAGGAAGGGAGAGAGAGAAATAAAAACATCAATGATGAGAGAGAATCATTGATCAGCTGCCTCCTGCACACCTCTTACTGGGGATCGAGCCCACAACCTGGGCATGGAACTATGACCTCCTGGTTCATAGGTCAGTGCTCAACCCCTGAGCCATGCTGGCCGGGCCATGCACACTATTTTGGATTTTGCTATTTTTACCCTTTTGAAGACCTTTCTGTGTTAGCTTATAGAGATCCTTTTTAAAAGGCTAACGGAATCCTAAGGACAGGTGTTCCAAACATTATCTATGCTTGCTTTGACTTGTGTTTTTACAATTCTTTGTGTGGTTGAGCTTTTCCCCCTCTCTCTGTCTCTGTATCTCTCCACCTCTCTCTGTCTCTCTCTCTCTCTGTCTCTCTCTCTCTCTCTCTCTCTGTCTCTCTCTCTGTCTCTCTCTCTCTTTAGTAGTAAATGACATTACTTTAGTTTTTTTTTAATTAATATATTTTACTGATATTTTACAGAGAGGAAGGGAGAGAGATAGAGAGCTAGAAACATCAATGAAAGAGAAACAGACTGACGCTCTACCACTGAGCCAAACCAGTTTTGGCTCCACCTCTCTCTTTAACCTGCTTAATCTTATCCTTTGTTAGGGAACGTGAAGCCTCTTTGGCACGCCAAGTGTATTGCAAGCTTTTACTGAAGGTTGCAAGGTTTTTTTTCCCCTCTTTCCAATAGTCAATTAACTACTCTAGTTATAACTTTCTTCCTGTGAACTAAGCAGCCCAGGGAGAGAGTGTGTGTGTGTGTGTGTGTGTGTGTGTGTGTGTGTGTGTCTGTGTGGACATGTATTTAAATTTCGTCCTTTATTTTTTTTCTCCCTATCTCTATAATTAGTTTTAATTTTTTTAAATTGATTTTTTACAGAGAGGAAGAGAGAGGGATAGAGAGCTAGAAACATCGATGAGAGAGAATTACCGATCAGCTACCTCCTGCACACCCCCCACTGGAGATGTGCCCGCAACCAAGGCACATGCCCTTGACGGGAATCGAACCTGGGACCTCTGAGTCCACTGAACCACACCGGCTTCGGCTATAAGTTTTCATTTGTGATAGCTTGAGGGATATTTTTTTTCTGGAGCAAAATCCCCTCTGAAACACACCCTGTCTCCAACCCCCCCCCCCCCCCCCCCCCCCCCCCCCCCCCCCCCCCCCCCCCCCCCCCCCCCCGTGCCACTGGTGCCTCTGTGTCTGGGCAGCGCCCCTCCCACGGGGCCTGCCTCCGGAGGAGTCATTCCTTCCATCCCAGGCACCCCTGCGTCTGCCCAGAAATAGCCGTGAATGGAGCTGTTCAGAACAGGCCGTGGGAACCGGCGGGAGGCTGTAAATCCATTCTCCTCCTCCTCCTTGGCTGGAGAAGCCCAGGCCAGCACAAGACAAGGGAGAAAGAGGAAAACCAGTCCTAACCGGTGTGGCTCAGTGGATGGAGCGTCGGCCTGCGGACTGAAGGGTCCCAGGTTCGATTCCGGTCAAGGGCGTGTACCTTGGTTGCGGGCACATCCCCAGTGGGGGGTGTGCAGGAGGCAGCTGATGGATGTTTCTCTCTCATTGATGTTTCTAACTCTCTATTCCTCTCCCTTCCTCTCTGTAAAAAAATCAATAAACTATATGTTTTTTAAAATATCACACACACTTCCTAGGCTGCTTAGTTCCTAGGAAGAAAGTTATCACTAGAGTAGTTAGTTGACTATTGGAAAGAGAAAAAAAACACCTTGCAACCTTCAGTAAACACTTGAAATACACTTGGCGTGCCAAAGAGGCTTCACGCTCCCTAACAAAGGATAAGAATAAGCTGGTTAAAGAGAGAGACAGAGCCGAACCGGTTTGGCTCAGTGGATAGAGCGTCGGCCTGCGGACCCAAGGGTCCCAGGTTCGATTCTGGTCAAGGGCATGTACCTTGGTTGCAGGCACATCCCCAGTACGGGGTGTGCAAGAGGCAGATGATTGATGATTCTCTCTCATCGATGTTTCTAACTCTCTATCCCTCTCTCTTCCTCTCTGTATAAAATCAATAAAATATATTAAAGAGAGAGAGAGAGACAGACAGAGAGAGACCAAGGGTTGGCTTGGCATAAATAGAGACAAGCAAACAAGCAAAGATAAGTGAACGCTTTGGCTGACCCTAACCAAACGTATCTTGTCTTTTGTGTGAATGTGCATCTCTAGTGAGGATGGAAAAGTGGAGAAACTAATCTTTGTTAAGACATGCTTATCTCCTGGAATTATCACCCTCAAACCGTTTGGATGTCTTGTATGCTAGAATGCTGACTCTACTGGAGAGGTGCTGGGGGAGGTGGGGGTTGGGCAATTCTGCCTTCAAGCACTTAGTGCAGTTCTCAGGCTAGCCTGGAGGTGGCGCTGTTTGCACGTGGTCACTAGACACCAAGAGGGACAGTAAGATTTAACATTGGAACCTTGCTTTGCATGTGTATACTTGGATGAAAGGGTTATAATTAGTGAAAAAATGAGAGAAACTCAAATAATCTTTGGAGTGGGGCAGAGGACTTTCTAAGAATCACAGAAAACTCAGAAGCTATAACAAGACGAGCATCATAAAAATGTCAAAGTTCTATATTTTTATATATATATATATATATTATTTCGGAGAGGAAAGGAAAGGGTTAGAGAGATAGAAACACCAAGGATGAGAGAATCATTGGCTGGCTGCCTCCTGCACGCCCCCTACTGGGGATCAAGCCCCCAACCTGGGCATGTGTCCTTAGCTGGAATTGAACCTGGGACCCTTCAGTCTGCAGGCGGATGCTCTACCCACTGAGCCACACCGGTATCCCCCCTTGGGCTTCCAGGCAGTTTCTTACTTGTCATACAGCCTCCGGTTATCTCCAAGTCTTATCTTCAAGAACTGCCAAGTGTAAGAACACCAGGATAGAGGTCCACCTTCCACTGACAGCAGGGAGACCTCGGAAGGTGTACTGAGGACGGTGTCCCTGGAGGTTTGCTGATGGAAACTGAGGAAAGAATGGGAGCTCCTGGCAGAAGAGACAGGACAGGGCATCCCTGTAGACCAGTGTTTTCCCAAAGTGTGGTACGCGTACCCCCAGAGGTACGGGAAGAGTTTGGTGGGAGTACGCGTTGCACCGGAGTTTGGTGGGGATATGCACTGCACCGTGCTTAGCTGCGCCTAATTCTACGTTCTCAGGAGTACTAGGGGTACTCAGCGTTACGAAAATTATAGAAGGGGTACACATATGTCAAAAGTTTGGGAAACACTGCTAGACATAGGAATACCACTTGCAAAAACAGAGGTGTATGCAATGGCTAGGGGCACCTTTAAGTCGGGGGAGGGGTGCTGGGCTGGGGCGACAGGGGGCTATTACTATGCTGATGCTTTTCCTCCTCCAGAGATGCTTTTGACCGTTGAGGGGCCTAATCACAGCTGAAAAGGACCTTCAAGTCCCTTCATCTAACTTTCACTTTTTATAGACAAATAGAGGAAAGCCTCAAAGAAGTGTCACGACCTGTTCCAGATCACAGCTCTGGCCGACACTGCAGTCCTGAGGGCCAGGCCCGCGGATTTTCTGCCTCTGGCCCTCAGGCACCGCCCAGACTCTCAACCCCCCAAACTCCGCTCCCAGGCCTGCAGCCTGGGTGGTCTGGGCGGATGGACTACATCTCCCACAATGCCTTTCGACCCCACCTCCTTCCCGCCGCCGGCTCGGACACCGTTTCTACCAATAGAAAAGCAGAGTTTCAGGAGCCGTTCTAGGGAGCCAATGAGAGCGGTTGGGGGGCGGGCCCCCTACCGTCCATTGTTCTTGGTGCCCCTCGGGCCGGAGCCCGTCGCGACTCCCGGGGCCGGGCCGTGCCCCGGGCGCTTGTGCACACAAAGCCGCCGCCGCTGCCGCCGGAGCAGGATCTGGTCCCCGGGGAGGTGAGCCCGGAGGAGAGGCGGGCCTGGAGCCTCGCGGCCCCGGAGGGTGGCGCGAGGCGTGGGAATAACGGGCCTGGAGCCAGTGCGCGCAGCCTGCTGGGGGAGGGGCGTGGGGGGCGCTCCCCGCGGACGGACCCGGGCGGGCTCCGTGCTCGCGGTGAGCTCCCTGCCCGTGCAACCGGGGGCGCAGGCTTCGGACGGGATGCGCTCCGGGCGGCGTCCCGCGCAGCTCCTGGTTGTGCACGTGGGGAAACTGAGCTCAGAGGGGGCGTGTCCGTGGCCCGGGTCACGCAGAGACTTCTTAGCTTTACCAGGAACGGTTTTCCCTGGGTTCTCAGTAAGAGTTGTGTTATTCCTGATTCTTCTTAGTCCTTGTGAATACACATTGGGAGCCTCGGCTTTTCTCACTAGCATTCCTATTTTATTATTTTGTTTTAAAATATTTTTTATTGATTTTTTACAGAGAGGAAGAGAGGGATAGAGTGTTAGAAACATCGATGAGAGAATCATTGATCAGCTGCCTCTTGCACACCCCCTACTGGGGATGTGCCCAACCAAGGTACATGCCCTTGATGGGAATCGAACCTGGGACCTTTAACTCCGCAGCCCGACGCTCTATCCACTGAGCCAAACGAGTTTCGGCAAGAGTTCTGTTATTCCTGTTTCTTCTTAGTCCTTGTGAATACACATTGGGAACTTCGGTTTTTCCCACTAGCATCCCTATTTTATTATTTTTTAAAGCGTTTCCTTTTTTGGGGGAGGTGGTATTATCTGAGTGTTTTATGATTCGAACCCGGGACCTTTTGAAATAAGACATTAAAAATATACATCTCAGGTAAAAACTGCTGTTTGAATTTTAAACCTGCTAAGGCAATTTTCCTGTGCCTGGGACCATAACCTTTGGAGATTAACCACTGAGTTCTGCTTCTGCAAGATAGGGCCACATTCCAGTGTCCAGCAGGATGTGACTGGGAACGACCCTGCGGGCTGACCCCAGTTTTTAGAATATAGTCTCTAGGATTTAGAATTTAGAACAAAGGAAAATTCCTGTGGCTTGAACTGTTGCAGAGTTCCCCAGTGGTCGGACGGTGCAGGGGGAGAGTTTGGAGAGACTTGCTTTGTTCATCGTGCGATGGGCTTAGGGAGGATGAGTTCAAGTTCTGGGCAAGGTTACAGGCAGAACTCCCTTTTTTTAATTAAAGAGCCAGCCCTATGCGCACTTAGTGGTTATCTCCATGCTGGCCTTGAAAACAATACAGTTCTATCCAAATGAGAAGGTGCACCTGGCATGGTATTGAGATTGTGGGCATATCTGGTCTCTGGCCTGCAAGGTCAGACAGCTAAGTTTATCTTCATCATTCTTCAAACGGGCTAAAGCAAACTAGAAAGCAACATTTTATCTAGGAAGAACAGCAGAAAATTCCAAACAACAGTTTGCTGCAAAAGAGGGCTTTTCCGTCTCAGAACCTTTAAAATGAACTACCTGCCCCTGAAGCAGTGCTGTCTTGCACACCTTAACCCTAACCCAAACTGACTAGGGCAAAACTTCTTTCTTTTAAATATGGTAATAGCTGAGACCGGTTTGGCTCAATGGATAGAACGTTGGCTTGGGGACTGAAAGGTTCGATTCCGGGCAAGGGCATGTACCTTGGTTGCGGGCACATCCCCAGTAGGGCGTGTGCAGGAGGCAGCTGATGGATGATTCTCTCTCATTGATGTTTCTAACTCTCCCTCTCTTTAAAAATCAATAAAATATATATTTTTAAAAAGTAACAGTAAAATAATAACAAAAAATAACCTTTAAATATGGTAATAATGTGGTTTGAGATATTATTTTCTTCCTTCTAGTGAGGCTCTATCTCTTGACATCTGAGCCATTGCCAATCTTTACAATGTCCCCATAAAATAAGGAGGATGTTATTATCTCTGCTCAGTGGTGGTCATTGAGGTTGATCTGAGTGTGTGAGGTCAAGGTCACTCAGTCCGCCACAAGTCTGAACTGACTCAGGCAGGACAGCTCCGTGCTGGATTCTTGCCAGGGCTTTGGATTTCTGACGCTCATGCTTCGGTCTTTTGGAAAGAAAAACGCTGTGTATTTTGTGTTTGTGATTCTTCTCTTGCCATAGAGAGAGGCAGGCTGTCAGGAATAAGCCATTTTGCCTTTAAGAGGGACAGGAACCTCGTTGATTTGCGGACGTAAGAATTACCTGGTGGCTTGACCTGGGCTGCTGTGGCTTAGATCGTTTTGGGACAGTTTACTTATTTTTTTTTTAAATATATTTTATTGATTTTTTTTTTTTACAGAGAGGAAGGGAGAGGGAATAGAGAATCAGAAACATCCATGAGAGAGGAACATCCATCAGCTGCCTCCTGCACACCCCCTACTGGGGATGTGCCCACAACCAAGGCACATGCCCTTGACGGGAATCGAACCCGTTCAGTCCGCAGTCGAGGCTCTATCCATTGAGCCACACTGATTTTGGCAAGGGACCTTTTACTTATTGATCCTGGTTCTCTTTTCTCTTTTCTCAGCTGGGCTGCTTGTCGAAATCCGAGGAGGGACCTGTCTTCTCGGAGAGCGTGGCTGGATAAGACGGAAGCGGAAGGCTGGAGGCCTGAGGGGTTGCCCCGAGAACGTGGGTGATGGATGCAGAGGTGCCCCGAGTGCCCACTCCCCCGAGCCCCTTGGCCCAGGCACCCCAAGAGGAAGACGACCAGGAGGCGGAGGTCGCCACCATGATCCTGGAGGACAGCTCTTGGGTCCAGGAGGCGGTGCTGCAGGAGGACGGCCCCGGGTCCGAGCCCTTCCCCCAGAACGCTGGCAAGGGCGGCCCCAGCGAGGAGGTGGCCGTGGGGCCGCAGGGCGCGCTGGGCCGCCTCCGAGAGCTCTGTCGGCGCTGGCTGAGGCCGGAGGTGCACACCAAGGAGCAGATGCTGACCCTGATGCCCCGGGAGATCCAGGCCTGGCTGCAGGAGCACAGGCCCGAGAACAGCGAGGAAACGGTGGCCCTGATGGAAGGCTTGACCCAGAGCCTTCGGGACGGTGGTGAGAAGCGGAAACGTGTAGGGTGGGGGTGGGGGCGCCCTCCCAGGTAGAGGAGGCCAAGGTGGTGTCCGGGGCAAAGTTTGGGACGGCCCCAGGCCTCTGTGCTGTCTGTGGAAAGTCAGCATGTTGGTTTCTGTTGGTCCTCATTCGAGGATATTTTTTTCCCATTGATTTTTAGAGAGTGTGGAAGGGAGAGGGAGAGCGAGAGACAAACATCGATGTGAGAGAGACACATCGATGGGTTGCCTCCTGCACGCATCCCGAACAGGGCCGGGGAACCTGCAACCAAGGTCCATATGTGCCCTTGACCGGAATCGAACCCGGGACCCTTCAGTCCGCAGGCCGACGCTCTATCCACTGAGCCACACCAGCCAGGGCCCATTGTCTCTTCTTTAAAGGCCTTGGGTGCAGTGACAGTTCCAGAATTTCAGGGCAGAAGGGGCTTAGAAGAGCAGTCTTGGAACTGTCTGTGTGTAGCAAGCCTGGTTTTTACCTCTGTGTTCATTCTGAGTGGTTGGGAAGCTGAAGGAGGAGTGGGGGGACGGGCTGAGGACCCTATAAATCACTCCTTGGAACCTTCGCTAGGTTGTGCAATGAACATTCAAATGTTCGAAGCTCCAGCAGTTAGAAAAACAAATCCTACTTTTTTTTTTTTTTAAAAAAGCTCCTAGATTTATTTTTTTAATTTTAATTTTTAATATATTTTATTGAATTTTTTGGAAAGAAGAAGAGAGATGAATAGAGAATTAGAAACATCTATAAGAGAGATACATCGATGAGCTGCCTCCTGCACACCCCCCACTGGGGATGTGCCCGCAACTAAGGTACATGCCCTTGACCGGAATCGAACCTGGGACCCTTCAGTCCGCAGACTGACGCTCTATCCACTGAGCCAAACCGGTCAGGGCAACCAGGGACTTTTCTGTGGCACAGAGTCAAGCTGGGCTCTTAAAAGAGGATTACAGCCCTAGCCAGTTTGGCTCAGTGGATAGAGCATAGGCCTGTGGACTGAAGGGTCCCAGGTTCGATTTTGACCAAGGGCACATGCCTGGGTTGCAGGCTCGATCCCCAGTAGGGGGCGTGCAGGAGGCAGCCAATAAATGATTCTCATCATTGATGTTTCTATCTCTTTCTCCCTCTTCCTTCCTCTCTGAAATCAATAATAATAAAAAGTATATATATATATATATTTTTTTTCTCTTTTCTTTTTTAAAGAGGACTGACAAACTTGAGTTCATTGCAACAGTTAATACCTGTGTCTCCTGATTTTGCCTCTGCCTGCTCTTCCCTTGTCAACTGCCCTCGCTGATTTCCAGATATTAACTGCCCTTCCACGGCTGCCCCCCACGCTGCTGCAGAACCCGTGGGGAACCGCTGCCCTGTGCTCATGAGGGCTGCAGGAGGAGAGGGGAGCTCAGGAGGCTTTACGGAGGGTGTGGAGCCTGAGCAGGAGGTGCAGGCTGCGGTAGGATTTGGAAGGGCGAGGGGCAGGCGGAGGGTGGCATCCCAGAGGAGCTGTGTGAAGCAGAGGCTCTGAAGGGAGGACCAGTCTGGCTTAGTGCAGGTGGCGGTAAGAAAGGCTGGCTGGCTGGCTGGCTGAAACCGGTGTGGCTCAGTGGATAGAGTGTCCGCCTGCAGACTGAAAGGTCCCAGGTCAAGGGCATGGACCTTGCTTACGGGCACATCCCCTCTAGGGGATGTGCAAGAGGCAGCTGGTCGATGATTCTCTCTCACCGATGTTTCTAACTCTCTATCCCTCTCTCTTCCTGTCTGTAAAAAATCAATAAAATATATTAAAAAGAAAAGAAAGAAAGGCTGGCTGTGGAGAGGGTGTGTTCTGGAAGTGGGAGGAAGTAGGTTTGGGGGAAGGGTGGGTGGAGGCTTGGCCTTGGCAGGTTCTTGAACTGGGGCCCACTGGGCAGGGGAGGAAGGCAAGCTGGGCAACAGGATGTGGGTTTGATTAGAGAAGGGAGAGGCTGGAGGCAGGAGAGCAGCCGGGAAGCCACTTAAACATCAGGTGTACAGGGGTCAGGCCCGGATGCGGACCACAGGGGGAGGGAAGGAGACTGGTCACATGTGAGAGAGAACTCGGTAACAATGGCTAGCATTATCCATCCCTTTAAAAATAAATAAATAAATAAATAAAAAATTAAAAAAAAAAAAAAAAATATATATATATATATATATATATATATATATATATATATATCCATATCCGAAACCAGTTTGGCTCAGTGGATAGAGCGTTGGCCTGCGGACTGAAGGGTCCTGGGTTCGATTCCGGTCAAGGGCATGTACCTTGGTTGCGTTGCGGGCACATCCCCGGTGGGGTGCATGCAGGAGGCAGCTGGTCGATGTTTCTCTCTCATCAATGTTTCTAACTCTCTATCCCTCTCTCTTCCTCTCTGTAAAAAAAATCAATAAAACGTATTTTTAAAATAATTTTAAAAAATAAAGTTATATGTATTAGATGTTCATCCCCAATCTTTACCTGCTGGAGTTGCCTTTATCTCAATCGTTGTGCTTGGTTGAGTGAAACTCATCTAATAGTTTCCTCTGGAAGGGCTCATGGGACCAATAGTCCGAGAGATTGTGTATCCTCAAAGCTGTTTGCCTGTACACTGTACACTTGGAGGACAGCTCTGTTGAATATGAAATCCTTGGCAAGCATTTCTTTTCTTGCATAACTGGCAGCTGTGGCTGCACTATCTGCAGGCATGGAGTGTTACTGCAGAGAAATCTGAGATTGGTTGGTTTTCCTCCCCCATATAAGCGATTTGATCTTTTTCCTTGTTATCCTTTGTGTCTTCGTTAACCACCCTGGGTTAGTGTTCCTTGGCACACACCATGCCTTTCAAGAGTTCTTTCTTTCTTTCTTTCAAATATATGTTCTTTTATTGATTTCAGAGAGAAAGAGAGAGGGGGAGAGAGAGGGAAACATCAATGATAAGAAAGAATCATTGATGGGCTGCCTCCTGCACGCCCCACAATGAGGATCGAGCCTGCAACCCCGGGCATGTGTCCTTGACTGGAATCGAACCCGGGACCCTTGAGTCCACAGGCTGATGCTCTATCCACTGAGCCAAATGGCTAGGGCTTCAAGAGTTCTTACATCTTCATAGGTTAAGATGTTTGTTCTGTTCCTTTGGTTTCATTTCCTTTTTTGAGGATTCCAGTTATGTTTATTGATTCTTTTTTTGTCTGACTTCTGTTTCTGTCATTCTCTTTGATCCTTCTCACCTCTTCCTTCGCTTCCATTTTCTCTCACTGCTTTTCTCACGTCATTCCCCCTCCATTTCTGTGCTTCCCGTTGGGCCCGTATTCCGTTGCATTTCTTCCCAGGTGTGTTGATTTCTCTGGATTTCCCCTCCTTTCCTTCGCGTGGCCAGCTCACATTTTCTGTCTCACCGTCTCTTCCTCGCGTCCCTCCTCTTCGTCTCTGAACCAAGGAGGCCAGCCTCGCCTATCCCAGGCCCCAGAGGCAGTGTTGCCTAGAAGATAAGTCCTTACCTTTAGAGAGTGCCTTCCTTACTTTCTCCCTTTCTTTCTTTCTCCCTTTCTTTCTTTCTCCCTCCCTTCCTTTCTTTCTTTCTTTCTTTCTTTCTTTCTTTCTTTCTTTCTTTCTTTCTTTCTTTCTTTCTTCTCTCTTTTTCTTTCTTTTTTAATATATTTTATTGATTTTTTTACAGAGAGGAAGGGAGAGTTAGAAGCATTGATGAGAGAGAAACACTAATCAGCTGCCTCCTGCATATCCCCCACTGGAGATGTGCCTGCAACCAAGGTAAATACATGCCCTTGACCGGAATCGAACCTGGGACCCTTAAGTCTGCAGGCTGACGCTCTATCCATTGAACCAAACCGGTCAGGGCTATAAGCTGCTTTTGAAAGGAGAGTCAGCTTTAGGGAAATTTTTGTGTTGCCAATAAAAAAATTCACTCATCCAATTTAATTGAGCACCTACTAAGTATCAGGCACCATGGTGTGAATTGGGGGTCATGTACCCCATTACTTTCCCTTGATTAGGATCTTCACATTTCTACTTGCCCTCATTTCCCAGTGGAGAAACAAGTAGAGACAGGACCCATAGCTTTGAGACTTAGAAATTCTGGGTGATTACCAGAAAGTGTGAGGCCTGGTAACTAGATAACCAGTTAGAAGAAAATAAACCTGGTTTTGAAAACTTTTCAGGATTCTTAAATCTCTTTTCTTTCTTTTCTTCTTCTTCTTTTTTTTTAAAAAAATATATTTTATTGGTTTTTTACAGAGAGGAAGGGAGTGAGATAGAGAGCTAGAAACATCGATGAGAGAGAAACATCGACCAGCTGCCTCTTGCACACCCCCTACCGGGGATGTGCCCGCAACCAATGTACATGCCCTTGACTGGAATCGAACCTGGGACCTTTCAGTCCGCCGACCGACGCTCTACCACTTAGCCAAACTGGTTTCGGCAAATCTCTTTATCTTCACTAGACGTTGACATTTAAAAAATTTCCCTCTTGGTTTCCTTTTTTTCATCGTCACAGGGAATTGAGTATGAGTCGTATGTTTTTCCTTCATTATTTCAGATTTTGAGATCCAGAGTGAAAACGGGGAGAACTCTAACCAAGACTTGTTTGAGAATGTGGAATCCCCTGGGATCTTCTCAGAAGCACCCGAAGGGGAAGGCGTTCGGCAGTGTGACTGGGAGAGTGACTCTGAGAGAGACTGTGGCTCCGGGGGTCCCCGGGGAAAGGCCTCCAGCGAAGACCGCAGGGCTGTGCCGTCCCAGGGCCGGGAAGCCGAACAGCTCATCGGCCTGCAGGGCACCTACCTGGGCGAGAGGCCCTACGAGTGCCCCCAGTGTGGGAAAACCTTCAGCCGGAAATCCCACCTCATCACGCACGGGCGCACCCACACGGGAGAGAAGTCCTACAAGTGCGACGAGTGCGGGAAGAGCTTCAGCGACGGCTCCAACTTCAGCAGGCACCAGACGACGCACACCGGGGAGAGGCCTTACAAGTGCCGGGACTGCGGGAAAAGCTTCAGCCGGAGCGCGAACCTCGTCACCCACCAGAGGATCCACACGGGCGAGAAGCCCTTCCAGTGCGCCGAGTGCGGCAAGAGCTTCAGCAGGAGCCCCAACCTCATCGCCCACCAGCGCACCCACACGGGGGAGAAGCCCTACTCCTGCCCCTTGTGCGGCAAGAGCTTCGGCAACCGGTCCAGCCTGAACACGCACCAGGGCATCCACACCGGGGAGAGGCCCTACGAGTGCAAGGACTGCGGCGAGAGCTTCAGCTACAACTCCAACCTCATCCGGCACCAGAGGATCCACACGGGGGAGAAGCCGTACCGGTGCCCCGACTGCGGGCAGAGGTTCAGCCAGAGCTCGGCCCTCATCACCCACCGCAGGACCCACACGGGGGAGAAGCCCTACCAGTGCGGCGAGTGCGGCAAGAGCTTCAGCCGCAGCTCCAACCTGGCCACCCACCGCCGGACCCACCTGGCGGAGAAGCCCTACAAGTGCGGCGAGTGCGGGAAGAGCTTCAGCCAGAGCTCCAGCCTCATCGCCCACCAGGGGGTGCACACGGGCGAGAAGCCCTACGAGTGCCTGACCTGCGGCGAGAGCTTCAGCTGGAGCTCCAACCTCATCAAGCACCGGCGCACCCACACGGGCGAGAGGCCCTACGCGTGCGGCGAGTGCGGCAAGGCCTTCGGCCAGCGCTCCCAGCTGGCGGTGCACCGGCGCACCCACACGGGCGAGAGGCCCTACGCGTGCCTCCTGTGCGGCAAGAGCTTCAGCCGGGGCTCCATCCTGGTCATGCACCAGAGGGCCCACCTCGGGGACAAGCCCTACAGGTGCCCCGAGTGCGGGAAGGGCTTCAGCTGGAATTCGGTGCTCATCATACACCAGCGGATCCACACCGGGGAGAAGCCCTACAAGTGCCCCGAGTGTGGCAAAGGGTTCAGCAACAGCTCCAATTTCATCACGCACCAGAGAACTCACACGAAAGAGAAACTCTGATGACGTGGCGGAAAGGAAAAGGGAGGGGGCGGGGCTAGCCCAGGAAGGGGAGCTGTCCCCCGGCGCCCCAAGCAAGGCTGTCTCATTCGAAGAGCCATTCTTCCCCGTAATGGTCTTTGGGGTTTCGTGCCAGAATCTCACCACTGCTCATCCTCATGCCTAGGATCCCATCGTCTTAGTGGTCGGAGCCAAACCCCAAGAACAGTGTAGGACTGGAAGGTCGGAGAGTTGGGTCTTTTTCTTTTTTTAAAAAAAAAAAAATATTTTTTTAATTAATTTTTTTACAGAGAGGAAGGGGAGAAGGATAGAGAGCCAGAAACATCGATGAGAGAGAAACATCCGTCGGCTGCCTCCTGCACACCCCCTACTGGGAATGTGCCTTGCAACCAAGGCACATGCCCTTGACCGGAATCAAACCTGGGACCCCTCAGTCTGCAGGTGGACGCTCCAGCCACTGAGACACACCGGTTAGGGCAAGTTGGGTCTTTTTCTGATTCGTTTCATGGCCTGATTGACTTTCTCTCTCCTGATCCCTCTGTGCCCCAGTTTCTTTGGTAGAAAAGAGAGTATTTCTCCATGTGGGAACAGAAGACGGCATGGCCCACATCTGCAGAGTCCTCAGAGAAATACTGGGAATCTACTGGTGCAGCCTGGTGGTTGTACTGCCCCTTTAAGAGGCTGAGGCCACTTCAGCCCCAGCTGCTGGCCTTCCAGGCCCCTTGCCCACGTCAGCACCAGTTCTTCCCGGTTCTGTCCTTGGGCTTTGATTTCAGGTCAAGGTGGAGGAGCGGCTTCTGTAATTCTGAGTCACCCCATGAATGACAAGTCCTCGCTAGAAAGTGTCAGGAACACCGAGACGCCGTCTATGTCCTGGAACCAGCGTCCCAGGAGCCTTTCCATTGTGGGAGTTGAACAGGGCCGGCCAGGGGAGGTATAGAATGAGATTCACATCTCTGCTTTGTCTCTGCTATTGTCCCGCGGTGAGTCAGCTGCCAGCGGGGGGGAGGCACTGGTTTTTGTGGGGCTTCGTTTTGGGGGTGTGAAGGCAGACACACTCCCAGCTGTCCACCCCGGTGGGTGGCAGTTTCTCTCTCGCCAGGTTCAGTGAGGCCGCCCTGCGCTTGCTCCATAATCATTACTCTGTGCGCCTGTCGGTTCCTCATTCTTACGTGTGTTCGTTTTTTATGTTCTACATGCAGAGCTAGACGTCTGTCCAGCAGCTTTTGTGTACTAAGAATGGCATTTGGAAGGAAGCTTTGGTTTTGAGGACACGTCATCTGTCCCCTGGAGAGATCCGGGCCTGAGTCAGGAGTTGTCCTACGGAGCTGCCTTTGCTTTTAGGGTGCCACCAGGGCTTTGTTCTTGAAGGGTCCGGGAGCCTTGAAACAGTGAAGATGGGGTGATAGCAGGTGAAGGGGTTTGTGATGAGAAAAGGAGAGTAGAAGATAGGGTGTTTCTGGGAAATATGAATCCACCTCCTCCTATGCATGGGGCTTCGGTTCTCATAGGATGGATGCTCAATGTTGCCTAATAAAGTAGAGTCCTATTCTCTTCCTGACTCTGTCTTTTTTTTTTTTTTTTTTTAATATATTTTTATTGTTTTCAGAGAGAAAGGAAGAGCAAGAGAGATAGAAACATCAGTGATGAGAGAGAATCATTGATCAGCTGCCTCTTGCATGCCCCCCACTGGGGATTGAGCCCGAAACCTAGGCATGTGCCCTTGCCCAGAATCGACCAAGGTACCCTTCAGCCCGCAGGCCTATGCTCTTTCCACTGAACCAAACCGGCTAGGGCCTGACTCTGTATTTTCATGTGTGTCAAAAAAACCTGAACTTGACCGCCATTAGGAAACACGCCATCCCACCTCCTGCCCCAAGTTGGAAATGGTCCAAGACCTCCAGGAAGTAAAAATCCAAAGAGCACAGGTTTGGGTGAACCTAGATCTGTGTGCTCGACCAGTGCACACACCTTCCCAGGGTCCTTTGCCACTCTACCCAATCTGTCAACCAAGGCGTGGGGCCAGATGGCCTCCTGAGACATCTCTACCCAGAATCCCCTAAATTAGACACAAGGAGCCATTCCTAAGGTAGGTAGTGACTGTTGTTCAACCACATTGGCAGTAAAATCTGTATCGTTCATTCCATCTCACTGCTAGGTACTGGGGAAGGTTCTGAATAGGAAGTCCCATGACCTGGCTTCAAGTTTTACCAGAAGATTCCCACCATCTCCTCCAGGAGGCCTTCCCTGCACTTTCCTGGCAGGCCTGACCCTGCCTACTATACCCCTGCCCTCTCCAACTTCAGTGCCTTTGACCTATTACATTTGTTTTTCCCTAAATATTTTTTAAAAAATATATTTTATTGATTTTTTTACAGAGAGGGATAGAGAGTTTAGAAACATCAATGAGAGAGAATCATTGATCAGCTGCTGCTTGCACACCCCCACTGGGGATGTGCCTGTAACCAAGGTACATGCCCTTGACCGGAATCGAACCCAGGACCCTTCAGTCCGCAGGCCGATGCTCTATCCACTGAGCCAAACTGGTTTCAGCTTTCCCCAATTTTTAAAAATTGATTTCAGAGAGAGACACAGAAAAACATTGATTTGTTGTTCCACTTAGTCGTGCATTTTATTGGTTGATTTTTGTATGTGCCTGACCAGGGATCAAACTCACAACCTTGGCATGTCAGGATGATGCTCTAACCAGCTGAGCTGCCTGGCTACATCTCTCTCTCACATAATTTCCCCCCTCCCTCTACTATTATGTTCGCACCCTATACTGAGGTCCCAAACTGTTTCCAGCACCCAGTTCAGGGCCTGGAATACAATAAGAACTCAGTAAATTTTTGCCAACTAAGCTCTCTTCATGGACATATATGGGGTGTCCCAAAAAACTATACACATTTTAACAATTGATAATGCAATTTTCACTCCTCAGATTTAATGGACAATGATTTTATAATCATTCAAAATATGTATATATTTTTTTGAGACACTCTGTATATAAAATGCAAAAGGCAGGTGGAGTTCAAAATTCTGGCCTGAAAAATGATTAGATTTCCTACACTTTGGTAAGACAATAAATGCAAGTTTTAACTTCAGGCCCACTCAGAAGTTGCGATCTATTGCTATTGGTGAGATAAAGCTGAAGACATCTATAAAAAGCAACCAGCTTGTATCCTAATGAAAACTCCTATTTTTGAAATGTCGAGCCTTAAAAGCCATTGAAAAACCAGTGTGCTGTGGTGGATGGAATCGAGGGAGCTGGACAGACTTGGTTCTAGACACACTTGTGCCATTAACTACGCATCCTCTCATCAGAGATTTTACCATTCCAGGCAAGTCATAATGAGACTTCCTTTTTTCAGTGGAATTTTACTTCCCTTTGGGTTGCATGTGTAGTTTACATAAGCCACAATAGGTTATAAAATAACACAATTTATGGAGTCGTTACTCTGCACAGGCTCTGTGCCAAGCTCTTAACATGCATGTCTCAGCCTTTTATATATATATGAGAGGCCTGGTGCACGGATTTGTGCACTGGTGGGGTTCCTCGTTCTGGCCCTCAGGGGTCAGGCTCTCTGGCATCCCCTGAGGGGTCCCAGATTGAGAGAGGGCGGTTTTCAGGTGATGCACCCTGGAATTGGGCTCCCTCCTCTGGTTCCAGGTGTGTCAGCAAAGAACTACCGCTGCCAAGTGACCACAGCTCCTACATCGAGCATCTGCCCCCTGGTGGTCAGTGCATGTCATAGCTATTGACTGGTTGGCTGGTCACTTAGGCGTATAATATTGTATATACCGTGTTTCCCCGAAAATAAGACATCCTCCGAAAATAAGACCTAGCGCGTGGAAAGATAAGACATCCCCTGAAAATAAGACCTAGCGCAACTTTGGGAGAAAAAAATTAATATAAGATACTGTCTTATTTTTGGGGAACGGTATATACTCTCATACACACACAGCTTATGATTTCTGAACCCATAATAATCTGGCCACTCAGTGTGTATCCTATATAATAAAAGGCTAATATGCAAATTGTCCCCATGATCTAGCCGGCCATCTATCAATGTCCCCTCCCCCTGGCCAGGCTGTCCAGGCCCCACCCATGCACGAATTCATGCACCTGGCCTCTAAAATAAATAAATAAATAAACAAATATTTATGTATTTTATATATTAAAGGAGAGAGATAGAAACAAATGGTGAGAGAGAATCATTGATTAACTGCCTCCTGCAACCCCGTACTGGGGATGGAACCTAGAACCCGGGCATGTGTCCTTGACAGGAATCGAACCAGGACCATTCAGTCTGCAGGCCGACACTCTATCCACCAAACCAGCTAAGGCAATGACAACAACCCTATGAGAGGTCTGTATCCCCACTCCCCCAGCTGAGGAAGTGGGACTCAGGAAAGGTTAATAAGTGACTTACCTAGCACCTGTTACTCAACCACTCTAGTCCTGAAGACGGTTAACTCCATTGCATTATCAGAGCCAGGAGCAATATCTATGGAACAGATTGAGAAAACAAAACGTTAAAAACAATATGTTGGTTACATGGTTTGAGTCTTGGCCCTGGTTATTGTCAAAATGATCCGTAACTGCAGTTGGTCCTTCCTTGCACGTGACTAGTGGCTGCTCTTTCTAGCCCTTTATCTATGGATGGGGGGGGGGGGGTTTCCTGTCTCATAACCAAGGTGTTTAGCTGGGACCCACTATACTAGGTTTGCTGCACCCACTGTGTCCCAGAGCCTCTGGAGTTTTTCTTCTTTCTTTCTTTTTCTTTTTCTTTTTTTTTTTCTTTTTTTTTTTTTAGCGAATGTAAAGGTAAAGGTTTATTATTATTTTTAAAAATATGTTTCTTGCCAAAACCGGTTTGGCTCAGTGGTAGAGCATCGGTCTGTGGACTGAAGGGTCCCAGGTTCGATTCCGGTCAAGGGCATGTACCTTGGTTGCGGGCACATCCCTGGTGGGGGGTGTACAAGAGGCGGCTGGTTGATGTTTCTCTCTCATCGACGTTTCTGACTATCTCTCTCCCTTCTTCTCTGTAAAATATTAATAAAATATATTTAAAAATAAATAAATAAAAATAAAAATATATGTTTCTTGCCAAAACCGGTTTTCTCACTGGATAGAGTGTCAGCCTGCAGACTGAAAGGTCCCAGGTTCCATTCCAGTCAAGGGCATGTACCTTGGTTGCAGGCACATCCCCAGTAGGGGGTGTGCAGGAGGCAGCTGATCGATGATTCTCTCTCATAGATGTTTCTAACTCTATCCCTCTCTCTTCCTCTCTGTTAAAACTTAATAAAATATGTTTAAAAAAAATATATATATATATTTCTTTATTGACTTCAGAAAGGAAGAGAGAAGGAGAGAGAGAAACATTAATGATGAGAGAGAATCATTGATAGGCTGCCTCCTACATGCCCTCCACTGGGGATTGAGCCCGCAACCCAGGCATGTGCCCTTGGCCGGAATCGAACCTGGGACCCTACAATCTGCAGTCTGACACTCTGTCCACTGAGCCAAGCCGGCTAGGGCGAGGTAAAGGTTTATTACAGAAAAGCTTCATCTTGCAGGGAGGAGACCCAAGTGGGTTGCCTGGCCCTCCCTGGAATTCTTCAAATTCAATTTGAGTTCTTCAGCCAAAACCGGTGTGGCTCAGTGGATAGAGCTAACCATCTTCCCTCAGGGCTCCCCCAGCGCCTGCACTGTCTCTCCGCTCACACGTGGGGCGCACCTCCCTGAGCGGGTACCACACTCACTGGGACGTTTGCGCTGCTCCCAGCGGGTCTGAGGGTTTGCCTCCTGCTGGACGGCAGTCCCGTCCGTCAGGGAATGTGTGTCGGAGGACGGCTGAGGGGGTGAAGCATCACCACAGAGGGCAACCCGGACAGAAAAGTCCTTTCTCTGGTGGCAGAATAACTCTCGGCTCAGTAGGGCTCGCAGGGAATAAATACCCGCTTTCGGCTGCCAGGACCCCCTCTCCGTGCCGGGACGGGGGTCCACAGGGTGAGAGGCTGCCAGCTCCCAGAATTCCCGCTCAGTCACTTCCAGCTGTGGCTCCGAACCCCGAACTTGCGGTGGGAAGGTCCCGCCCCTCAGCAGTGATTCGTCCGGGACAGAAAGGCGCCTAAGCCACCTCCAAGCTTGATTGGTTAACGCTGCCGTCGGTCTGCGGGCACACGCGGAGGCCTGTGGGAAATGAAGTCCGGGCCGTCATCTGTAAGCACGCGCGTAGGCTTGTGGGAAGTGAAGTCCGGCGAAGCTCGAAGCCTGGGGCTGACGTTTTCGCTTCTGGTGTTTGGTGGGCGTCCGAGGGCCCAGATTGGGGTCTGGTCCAGGGTCCGAGTGTAGTGAGTGTGGGGCCAGACCTTCAGCAGTCGCAGGGCCCCGGCGGAGGGGAGCGGCTTGGGTCGCCCTTAGATGGGCGGGGCCGGGATCTGGGTCCGGAGGTGGGTCCAGAGTGGACCTGGGGCAGGATGCGTGGTCACCCCAGCAGCACCCTTTTCCCATGGTCCACCAGGGACCACCTCGCCCCCAGCCAGGGTGGGGCGCGGAGCAGTGCAAGTCAGGCTCTGCAGGCCTATCACCCAGTCCACAGTCAGAGGACAGAACCACTGTCCCATTTCTTGCCATAAACCAGCTACATGATCTTAGGTGAGTTTGAGTCAAAGCCAGAATATCTTAACTTTCCTTCCACTCTAACACCGTGTGAATTTGTTATTTATTTTTTTCTTTTAAAACATTTTTAAATTTTTTTTTACAGAGAAGGGAGAGGGATAGAGAACTAGAAACATTAATGGGAGAGAAACAACGACCAGCCGCCTCCTGCACACCCCCTACCGTAATGTGCCCGCAACCAATGTACATGCCCTTGACCAGAATCGAATCCCGGACCTTTCAGCCCACAGACCGACGCTCTATCCACTGAGCCAAACCGGTTTTGGCTCTCAACGATGTTTCTATCTCTATCCCTCTCTCTTCCTCTCTGTAAAAAATTAATTATATATATATATATATATATATATATAAAAGAATTATCAGCACCCCAGGAGGCTCTCATCCAACTCCGGGAGCTGGTCGCAGGGGCTGAGACCAGAGATGTGTACAAAAGAGCAGATCCTGGAGTTGCTAGTCCTGGACAAGTATCTGACTGTCCTTTACCAGGGGACCCAGATCTGGGTGAGACAAAACACCCAGACAGCGGAGAGGAGGCAGTGGGTGGAGAACTTGCAGAACCCAGAAGGTGGGGGCTGCAGGTGAGACATGGGACCCAGTTCTGACTAGTCAAAATAGAGGATGTGAGAGACAGCGCCACCGGGTGCCAGCCTGAGGGGGATGTGCGACACTTTGCTGTTGGTGTCAAAGTGGAATTTGCTTATTCCCTGGAACTACAGTTTTCCTCCCAAGGTCAGACTGACTCCTCAGAGAATGCACCACCTTGGTTGCTCTGAGCAGTCCCTGTTGTTAAATGAAAACTTCTTAAAATGCTGATCAAGCCCTGACTGGTTTGGCTCAGTGGACAGAGCGTCGGTCTGCGGACTGAAGGGTCCCAGGTTCAATTCCGGTCAAGGGAATGTACTTTGGTTGCAGGCACATCCCCAGTGGGGGGTGTAGGGGGTGTGCAAGAGGCAGCTGATCGACGATTCTCTCTCATCGATGTTTCTAACTCTCTATCCCTCCCTCTTCCTCTCTGTAAAAAATCAATAAAATATATTTTAAAAAATCCAAAAAACCTGAGGGATTGACATCTGCTGGAAGCAGCAGGATCCTGTCGCCCACAACTGTCTGATCTAAGAGTAGCCACCAAATCTCTTATCGTGCTTCCTACCTGGCATTTTCCCATATATTTCTTCTAACTTCCCCAACCGCCCTGCGAGGTAGTTAGCACTATCTCATTTTTCCAATAAAGACCCTGAGGCCGAGAGAGGCTGCTTAACTGGCCCAAGGCTATTCCGCTGGTAACGGGGATTGTGGTCACGTGAGTCCTAAGTCAGTCCCCTTGTTGTACCTACAGCAGGGGCCTGGCAGGAAGGCGCTGGTGTCAGCGGGAGGCCCGGGGGTCCACCCATTCCCACACTTGCACGGAGGCGTCGCTTGCTGCCGACAACAGAGTCCGTGGCTTGCGGGGGTGCCAGGTGTGGGTGGTGACCAGCGGCGCAGCGCCTGTCCCCTGGTCCTCCAGGAAGAGGTGACCTCTGTGAGTGAAGAGAGGCTCTGCGGGGCCCTCCGTTCCACCCCGAGACGTGACGTCATAGATGTGGACTGTCCCATCAAAACCTGAGGAAGAACGAGCAGTGAGAAGACCAACGACGACTGTCTAAAATAATTTTTATAACTTGCTCTACGGCACCAAAACAGGCTATGGGACGAGGAACCTAATAGGAAACAAGATACTGGTACTTAATGACCAACCAATGGCATGGAACATCTGCCCACATGCTGGCAGCTGCCAAGTCCACGGGGCACGTGACGATGAGAATCTGTAGTATATCACGTGCCAGGCCTGAGGCTAATCCTGGATCTACATTCTCTCTCTCTCTCTCTCTCTCCTCTCTTTTTTTAAAATATATTTTATTGATTTTTTTTGCAGAGAGGAAGGGAGAGGGATAGAGTTAGAAACATCAATGAGAGAGAAACATCGATCAGCTGCCTCCTGCAGACTCCCTACTAGGGATGTGCCCGCAACCAAGGTACATGCCCTTGACCGGAATCGAACCCGGGACCTTTCAGTCCACAGGCCGAAGCTCTATCCACTGAGCTAAACCGGTTTTGGCTCTACATTCTCTCTCTTAATTCTCACAACTGTATGAAGTAGGTACTAATACTTACCCCGGGAAACTGAGACTTAGGACTTTTTTAAACCATCAGAAAACACAGATATTTACATTATAGTTATGAAGTAGCAATGAAAATAATTTTATGGTTAGGAATCACCACAACATGAGGAACTGTATTAAAGGGGCAGCATTAGAAAGGTTGAGAACCGCCGAAACTGGTGTTGCTCAGTGGATAGAGCATTGGCCTGAGGACTAAAAGGTCCTGGGTTTGATTCCGGTCAAGGGCATGCACCTTGGTTGCGGGCACATCCCCAGTAGGGGGTGTGCAGGAGGCAGCTGATTGGTGATTCTCTCTCATTGATGTTTCTAACTCTCTATCCCTCTCTCTTCCTCTCTGTAAAAAAAAATCAATAAAATATATATATTTTTTTAAAAAAAGCAAATACACTGAGAACCAGCCTTGGAATTCTATAGCCTCTTTCCTAGTGTTTTACTGTCTGCAGGCTCTTCACCAACCTCAGAACTGAATTCCTGCTAGGACAGGCAAGCCCTGATTCCCCTGGATAAAAGCTGTGTAGCCAAATGGGGAAGGGCCTGCCCCTGAGGAAGCTGGAGAGTTCATCTGGAGATTCTGGGTGAGCGACTTTAACTTTTGGGGCCAGAGGCGCCTTCCTGAGCACTCGGACAGTCCCTCGGAAGAGAAAGCTCAAACAACAGACGCAAAACCCTGCTCAGCGGTACCTGAAATGGCCAAGCAGTTGTCCAGGCCTGGAGCCCAGGTCACTCGCAGCAGCTCTGGGTCCGGGCTGGGCGTGGACACTGGGCACTGCACTGAGCGCACCGGATGGCAGAGATCCCGAGGGTCAAGAAGACAGAGCTGCCCATCTGAGCACAGGCTGGCAATGCTGGGCCCAGGGCCCTGGCCCTTGGCTCTGACGTCTGAACACCACCTCCCTCCACTGGGCCGGGGGCTGGGGCTGGCATTCTCTGCCGGCGCCCACTTCTGGCGGGTGTCAACGAGCCCGAGCCGGCCCGAGGTGCAGCAGAAGGCAAAGGTGTCTGCGTCCAGGACCTGCAGGCTACTCAGCTCCTCACTGTCACTGACGCCTGGAAGACAGAGGGAGAAAGAGGAAAGCTGCTGGGGTCACTTGGGTCTGGCACCCTGGCAGGGCTGGCTGGTCACAAGTCCCTTCCTCTGGGAAGCATCCCCAATCCCAGGCAGGATAAGCCACGCCTCCCCGCTCCTGTTCATTTTTAAAAAAAATATATTTTATTGCCGAAACCGGTTTGGCTCAGTGGTAGAGCATCGGTCTACGGACTGAGGGGTCCCAGGTTAGATTCCGGTCAGGGGCATGTGCGTTGGTTGCGGGCACATCCCCAGTGGGGGATGTGCAGGAGACAGCTGTTCGATGTTTCTCTCTCATCCACGTTTCTAGCTCTCTCTCTCTCTCTCTTCCTCTCTGTAAAAAATCAATAAAATATATTGTTCGGCTGTTCATTTTACCCTTCTCCTCCACTAGGTGGTGCTGGTCCAGGACTGCCTCCTCCAATCCTAGAAGGGGAGTCCCTAGAGGCCAGGGCTGGCCTCTCATTCATCTCATGTCTCCCACACCCGGCACAGATTCAGTTCAGAGGTGGCTGCGCAGGGCTGGAGGAGCCGGCCAGGGGCAGACGGCACCATACCTGAGGTGTACATGACCTTCTGGGATTCCAGATCCACAACCTCCAGGCCGCTGAGCCGCGCCCCGTGGAGGACTCCAGGTGCCTCTGACGGGCAGATGGCGACCCTCGGCCAGAGACTCCCCTCTTTCTCAGGCACAGCAATGGTGCTGACAGCTTCAATGACATCTGGGGGCAAGCGGAAGAGGGGAAAGTCCAGAATGTTAGTGAAGGTTTGAAACATAAACTGGTGAAAGCTGGCCAGCGGTCTTCCCCTGTACAGATAGAAAAGGTCATGGAAAAAAGGGAACTGACAGGTTTGGCTCAGTGGTTCAATCAAGGGCATGGACCTTGGTTGTGGGCACATCCCCAGTAGGAGGTGTGCAGGAGGTAGCTGATCTATGATTCTCTCTCATCGATGTTTCTAACTCTCTATCCCTCTCCCTTCCTCTCTGTTAAAAAAAAAAAAAAATCAATAAATTATATCTTAAAAAAAAAAGAGGAAGGGAAAAAGAAAGGGAACTGACAGGTGGCGAGAGAAAATGTGGTGTCATAAACACCTGTTATGTTTACATTTTAAAACTGTCAGAAGCACTTTAATTTCTTTTTTTTAAAAAACTATATTTTTATTGATTTCAGAGAGAAAGGGAGAGGGAGAGACAGAAACATCAATGATGAGAATCATTGATCGGCTGCCTCCTGCACGCCCCACACTGGGGATCAAACAAGTAACCCCGGCATGTGTCCTTCTCTGGAATCGAACCCGGGACCCTTCAGTCCACAGGCCGACGTTCTATCCACTGAGCCACACCGGCCAGGGCGCACTTTAATTTCTTTATAAATTGTCTTATGAACTGTTTTGCAAATGGGAGATAATGAATCTCAGATGCCATCTCAAAAGCCCCTAGAGCAGTTCTGGCTTTTCATACTTTTGTGGAGTACAAATAAAAGGAAAGACTCCACTGATGGTGTCATTTTCACTTTAGGTGAAGAAAATAACAGGAACAGAATTCATGAACTACCATTATTTCTTCAGAAACTTATTATACAAGGCAAATGTCACTGTCTCCAAACACAAACTGGATCAGGAAGTCCATGTCCTTCTGACACTGAACAGAAGGAAGACACTTGTCCACAAGTTGAATCAAATTTTAGTTTTGTTTGTCTCAGCCTGCTTAGTGGTACAGGCAGGCTCTCGCCTCTGCATCTGCAACTGAGGCTTCTCTTTATTTATTTATTTTAAAACATATTTTATTGATTTTTTTACAGAGAGGAAGGGAGAGGGATAGAAAGTCGGAAACATGGATGAGAAAGAAACATCGATCAGCTGCCTCCTGCACACCCCCCACTGGGGATGTGCCTGCAACCAAGGTACATGTCCAAGACTGAAATCGAACCTGGGACCTTTTTTTTAATTATTATATTTTTTTAATTTATTGATTTCAGAGAGGAAGGGAGAGGGAGAGAGATAGAAACATCAATGATGAGAGAGAATCACTGATTGCTCGGCTGCCTCCTGCACTACTGGGGATCGAACCCACAACCCCGGCATGTGTTCCGATCAGAAATTGAACCATGACCTCCAGGCTCAAAGGTCGACGCTCAACCCTGAGCCACGCCAGCCAGGCCTGAGTCTACTGCTTCACTGACTTGGATTAGGGGACGGAGGTATGTGTCCACCCGCACCAAGTCAGGTTCACTCACCGCTGTCCTCTGCGATCTGCCACACCTGCAGGTGACAACCTGGAAGGCCACTGGTCACCAACAACCTGTTTAGGAGGGAGAGGAGGCCTCAGTTCAGACTGAGGAGCTCACCCACATCCCCCCAGCCTTTCCGCTCTCCAGCCTACACGCCCACCTCAGGAAAGCCACTGCAGGGAGGGGCTGTCCCGTCACCCTCATTAACAGAGAAGAGCAGGCTCACTCCACTTTAGGGACAGGCCCACAGTCATGAGACACGGAACTGAGTCCAGGCTTCCATGTTGCAAGAAGTGTCCCAGCAGGACACCAGCATGGAGCCTGAACACACAGCTGGCCTAGACTCTCAGCATCTGCCAATGGACTCATTCGCCCCCGCCACCCACCATCGCTCTCTGAGAAACTAAGATAAGGTGACCAGACGTCCCGTTTTTTAACAATTTGTCCCGCAGTGATCAAAAATCGGGACTTGCCGAAACTGGTTTGGCTCAGTAGAGCGAGCGGTGGCCTGCAGACTGAAAGGTCCCAGGTTCGATTCCGATTAAGGGCATGTACCTTGGTTGTAGGCACATCCACGGTAGGGGGTGTGCAAGAGGCAGCTGACCAATGATTCTCTTATTGATGTTTCTAACTCTCTATCCCTCTCTCTTCCTCTCTGTAAAAAAACAATAAAAAATATTTTTAAAAAAATCGGGACTTTTTTAAAACACCACGGGATGCAGGACAAACTGTTAAAAATCGGGACTGTCCCGCCAAAAGCGGGACATCTGGTCACCTTAAACTAAGAGCATCTTTCTACTCTCTCTCTGGAGCACCTCTGGAAATCTATGGGTCACAGTCACTGGAAGGTCTGCAAAGGGACCAGGAAGCCGCCAAACAATAGGTTCTTTGTATTCCAGGTTTGTCTGTGTGCGTGCGCTCACCAGTATCCATGAGCTCAGGGGTTAGGGACGGCATGGTGATAAAGAGGCAAAATACCCTTGACATTCCCAGCCGCTCCATCCTGAATGGGGGTGGGGTGGGGGGGGAGTCTGAGAAACAGAGCTGACCATACCTGGTGTCGGGCACGTGCTTCAGATCAAAGATAGCCCTGTCTGAAAATCCTCCGTGGCACACCTTGAAATCTCTTTCCGGGAGTAAGCCCTGCAATGCGGAAGGGTGGCCCATCAGATAGAGCCTGCTTTCTGAAGGGGCCTTTCAGACATGCTCCGGGTGAGGAGCCAGACCCCAGCCTGGCCAGAGGCCCCGGAAGCAGCTCTGCTGGCAACAGGTGCTCCTCCAGGCAGGGCCTGGTGTGCTGCTATCCGTCAGCTGGTCTCAGCTGCCTGCATGGACAGCTTCCTTTCTTTCCTGCGCGTCCCAAACCCTTCTGCTATTTAAAGATTATTCTTTCCTGTATTGCTTGTGAGTTCCTATTCCTCTACTTAAATGTATTCTGAATAGAGTTCCTATTCCTCTACTTAAATGTTTATTCTCTAAAATCCTGTCTTTAGCCACCTTCCCCTCTTATTTCTTACTAGAGGCCCAGTGCACAAAATTCATGCACTTGGCAGGGAGAGGGGTCCCTCAGCCCAGCCTGTGCCCTCTAAGCTGGCAGTCAGACATCCTTAGCACTGCTGCAAAGGTGGAGGCGCTCCGGCCACCACTGCTTGCCTGCTGTGAGCCTGGCTCAGGGCTTCTAGCTGAGTGGCATTGAGCAGCTGCCCTCTGGTGGTCAGTGAGCATCATAGTGACTGGTCGTTTGGCTGTTTGGTCAATTTGCATGTTAGCCTCTTGTATAGGATTCATTAGGCACATTCATTCTTAACCATTCTAAGGGTTTCATCCACCTTCTATACCCTAATGGCTCCAGGTATCTAATTTTGATAAACTACAATAGACTTCTTCCTTAGGGACTCTCTGTAAATCACGGGAGGCTCCTTAGTACTTATCTTCATGCACATTTGCCTCCCTCTAGTACAGCGGTCGGCAAACTCATTAGTCAACAGAGTGGCAAACCGCAGCTTGCGAGCCGCAGTTTGCCGACCACTGCTCTAGTAGACCAGAAGGGCAGGCCCAGGGTCTCTCTCTCTCTCCCTCTCTCTCTCTCTCTCTCTCTCTCTCTCGTATCCAGGACAACAGCTAGTAGCCAACAGGAGCTCCATAAAGGTTTAATAAATGACCAAAAGTAGACACATATACTCAGCATTCATATTTCAAATTACCTGGTTTTCTTTTACAGAAAGTCGGGGAGGTAATGTCAGGTGAAGAATTTCATTTCTTTTCAACTTTTCATAGCCAGCAACAAAAACTCCTGGGGGAAAAAAGAAGCAGAAGTAGCTGTGACAAACTGAAAGGTTCCGGGTTCGATTCCAGTCAAGGGCATGTACCTTGGTTGCGGGCATATCCCCAGTAGGGGTTGTGCAAGAGGCAGCTGATCGATGATTCTCTCTCATCGATGTTTCTAACGCTCTATCCCTCTCTCTTCCTCTCTGTTAAAAATCAATAAAATATATTTTAAAAAAAATTTGTGGACCATGGCTGGCTCTAGAAACTCCGCCAAACCAGCTGAGGCAGATAAATTCCCTTGTCATCGATATGCAGCCTTGTGCTGGGGGATGGGAAGAGATCCAGAACTTGGGAAGCACTGATGGAGCACAAAATTGCCACAAGTGAGCAAGGGGCCCTAAGAGTAGGCTGGGGCCCCTGAGCTGAGGTCTTGAGTTCCAGCCTGAGTGGGATTCCATCTCCTCACCTGTGTCACCAATCCATTCAAGGACTCGAGTGGCTCCTGGGAGGTCGAATGCATGGAAATCCTGGTATCTGCAGAGAGAGACACAATGTCAAGAACTCTGCCGAAACCGGTTTGGCTCCGTGGATGGAGCGTCGGCCTGCAAACTAGGGGGGGGGGGGTTCCTAGGTTTGATTCTGGTCAGGGGCATGTACCTTTGTTGCAGGCACATCCCCAGTACGGGGTGTGCAAGAGGCAGCTGATCGATGATTCTCTCTCATCAGTGTTTCTAACTCTCTATCCCTCTCTCTTCCTCTCTAAAAAAATCAATAATATACATACATAATAAACATATTTATACATATATATATATATAAAAGAACTCTGAGAGACTCTGGAGTCAGGCAAACCTGGAAACAAGTCTTGTCACACATTCTGCTCCCTGTGTGACCGGAACCAGGCCAGTCACAATAACCCTGAGCCTTGGTCCTCATCTGTAACACGGAACTCCCAGAGAAGCCAGACTTCCCCGCGGTTGATGTGAAGAATCCATGAGGCAGCCTCCCGTGGTCGGCAAACTGCGGCTCGCGAGCCACATGCGGCTCTTTGGCCCCTTGAGTGTGGCTCTTCCACAAAATACCATGGCCTGGGCGAGTCTATTTGAAGCGGCGTTACAAGAAGTTTAAGTTTAAAAAAGTCGGCTCTGAGAAGAAATTTCAATCATTGTGCTGTTGATATCTGGCTCTACTGAGGAATGAGTTTGCCGACCACTGGCCTAGCCGGTTTGGTTCAGTGGATAGAGCGTGGGCCTTCCAACTGAAGGGTGCTGGGATGGATTCAGGTCAAGGGTACATGCACAGGTTGTGGGCTCCATCCCCAATAGAGGTGGCGTGCAGAAGGCAGCGATCAATGATTCTCTCTCATCATTGGTGTTTCCATCTCTCTCTCCCTCTCCCTTTCTCTCTGAAATCAATAAAAAATATATATATTTTTTAGCCGAAACCGGTTTGGCTCAGTGGATAGAGCGTCGGCCTGAGGACTGAAGGGTCCCAGGTTCCGGTCAAGGGCTTGTACCTCGGTTGCGGGCGCATCCCTGGGGGGGGGGGGGAGTGCAGGAGGCAGCTGGTCGATGTTTCTCTCTCATGGATGTTTCTAGCTCTCTATCCCTCTCTCTTCCTCTCTGTAAAAAAAAAAAAAAAAAAAAAAATCAATAAAATGTATTTTAAAAAATAAAAAAATAAAAAGCATCCATGAGACAGTCTGGGGTTCAATTCAGAGGCTGGTGCAAAATAACTGGTCACCTATTATGACCCTGCACAGCACTGCTCTTACTGGTACAGCAACACAACCTACGCCCGCAGGGCTGTGCCGTCTCCCAGAAGCCGGATCCGAGGCCCAGGCGGAGTCCTCGTGCGGCCCCGCCCGCCCCGCCCCGAGGGCATTAACCGCCCGGCCCAGACCCGGATCCCCCACGCGCCAAGCCCCGCGCCCGCCCGCCGGGGGCGCCCCGCCAGTTCCAACCCGAAAGCCCGACCCCAGGCCCACACGACGTACAAGCGCAAGGATTCCACCAACCAGTCCTCCGCGGACTCCATGGCAACTGTCGCTCAGGTAGCTCACTTCCGCCGCCCCACTTCCGCCCCAGGACCTTCCCGGCGGGAGGGGGTCTTCTCGCGAGGAGTGCGCGAGCGTCCTGACGCAGAGGGGCGTGTCCTTATCCGACGCAGAGGGCGTGGCCTCGATCCAGGGGCGGGGCTAGAGTTCTGGAAGCGCCCTGGACCCAGCTTGCACGCTTTGCTAAGGCTAGTTAGGAGTTCTCTGGGCAAAAGTATGCAGAATCAGGGATTCCTGGTTTTACGACCGAGTATTTGCAGATCAGAGGGCCAAAGCCAGATAAGATACTGGGCGGCCAGTTAAATTAGAATTTTAGATAAACAACAAAACATTTTTTATTGTAAGTATGTCCTGCAACATCAGGACATCTTTTTTTTTATTTTATTGATTTTTTACAGAGAGGAAGAGAGAGGGGCAGAGAGTTAGAAACATCGATGAGCGAGAGACATCGATCAGCTGCCTCCCGCACACTCCCCACAGGGGATGCGCCCGCAACCAAGGCACGTGCCCTTGACCGGAATCGAACCAGGGACCCTTCAGTCCCCAGACCGACGCTCTATCCACTGAGCCAAACAGGTTTCTGCCATCAGGGCATCTTATACGAAAAAAAATGATTGCTTATCTGAAATTCGAATTTAACTGGGTGTCCCTTTATGTTTTGCTAACTTTGGCAATCTTACAGAAAGCTAAAGAAGAGTGAGAGAGGACAGCAGGGTCTGGATCCCAGCTGGCCCTCCCCCTTGTAAGGTGCTGGGGGCTCCCCTTCAAAGATTGGCATGATCATGAAATGAATGGGGTGAGCAAAGCCCGGTGGAATGTAGGTGTCAGTGATGTAGGCATCTTGAAGAAACTCGAGACTTGCTTGTGCCAGTAGGTGGCAGAGAGGAGAGGAGTAGAACCAGTTGGCTGGCACAGGATCTGGTGCACAGCAGGTGTGGGGTACCTGTTTGCTGAATGAACTAATGAGGTGTTCCGAGTCCATGCCAGGCTGGTATCATAGAGTGTTCTGGGCATTTTGGAGCCCACCCCATCTCCAGCCCCCCTTCAGCCCATCCCCTCAAACACACTGAAAGGAGAGGACCAGACATTCTATGGAAAGAGCAGGGCTTTATTCACAACTTCAACAGGGAAGCAAGAAATACAGCAGGGACATCATTTGTGTTTGCACTGGTGATATTCCTGGTGACCCGACCGCAGATCACAGGAATGGAGTGACAGCGGTTTGAGCCCAGAATTTACATCCGGATGGGGCCACTTCCAGGGTCCCGGGATGGGCGCAGTCTAAGCCACGTTGCTGGGTCTTCCTCGCCAATGCCATCACTTCTGCAGCATTTGCACCAGCGGCCTCCTATACTGAAGGGGACACAGAAGAACTGACCTGGGCACAGGGAGCAGTTAAGAGGGCATTCTGCCATTCCTAAGGGCTGGGCATCCAGAGTTGGCGAGGGATAGACTCTCCTCGGAGGCATTCCCCCCCCCACCCCCGCCAAACCTCAGAGGGGTCCTGACATTCAAGGGGGACCATGGAAATAAATTCCAAGTCGGTGGCTGGCCCTCTGCCAGTGTGAGCATTTTCACTCTCGCACGCCTCACTTCTGAAACCCGTCCCCAGGGCTGGGTAGCTGCTTCCTCTGAGATTCTCTAGTTGATCTGTATGTTTCAGGCCTTCTAGAACAATGGCTCCAGAGGTAACATCGTCTGCCTTCGGAATAGACAGTCCTTTCATCCGAGATCCCCGGGGGCAGGTGGTTCTGTGCATCAGGAGAGTCACAGCTGCACCTTCTCTAGGGCATGCCCCTCCCTTCTTTCAAAATGTATGCTTTAGCCGAAACCGGTGT